TTTTATTCTTTAAGTTACATCACATTTTGAAATGTCAATGATAGTGTGATTAATTCCTAACAATTTAGTGTAGAATATCCTGCTTGCAAAATATAATTTAGCATCAACATTATTCATGCCTGTTCTCCCCTCATTTCAAAAGTGAATGTTGGTTAGCTTTCGTGCACAGCTTTTCAAATGGAAGACAGACGAATGCCAAAGAGACGTTACAATTTTCCTACATTGAAAATGTATTTCCGACAGGCACTTACTTCCACTCACATATAGTTATTCTCGTTCAGTGCTGCCTTCTATTTGCAAACAATTTATTTGCATGTCACAAGCCTTTCACTCCCATGCACATCTCGATTCACATGGTTGAACTGATTCTCACATGCAAATTATCATGCAACAAACTTCCACCAATAGTAGTGCCATACACCCATGTAACTCACTCTATGCTATTCTACCTAACTATCACTTCGAGTTTAGGAAGAAACATAAGTACCGGTTGACAGTGGGGAGGAAGGGTGGGAAGTGTGAGCATAAGTAAATACCTGTCGGAAATACATTTTCAGTGAACAAAAATTATAACTTCCAATAAGATACCTTACTTCTGCTCACATACATAACTAGAATCCCATATTGAATAAGAAGAAAGACTAGTGCAAGGGAAAAAGTAGAAGCTTCCTTCAAGGACACCCTCTAATAAGAGGATTATACGTGGGAATCTCACCACTTCTGCACCAGGTATACTCTGTGAGGAACACATCCAAATGGGAGAGAAAACGATTGGACAGTGACCACAATATATTATAATTACAATCTCCCTGATAAACAGAATGTAGGTAAAAATAAGGAATATGCCCCAAGGAGTAGAGTGGCTAGAGTGCAACAGACCATACACAACAAGTCAACTGTATCCAAAATATGACCATCTGGAACTGACATCCAAGTGGGGGTAGGAAAGAAAATCATACTGTATTCACTTCAAGATCAGCTGACAGGAGGAAGAAATCCCACCACTGATCTATGAACAAGGCACATGTAAGCAAAGTGAAATACATATATATCCCAGAACAGAACCACCTCAAACACAGTAATGTCCATAAAGACATCAAGGGGTAGCACAGTAAAGAAGCAGAGCAACCAAAAAGTTCAGCTACCATGACCCACAATACTGGGGTAGTGCCCTCAAGGTAAATTGAGTGAAGGACCAGGGACGCCCTGAACACATGTGTGAGAACTTATGTTGATTGGTTCAGCTCTAAATCCAAAGCTCAACCACCGGGAACCAACATCCATGTGGAGGAAAGATGAGGGATCAAAATTGCACGACATGTGTGATTTGTTCAGCTCTAAATTGAAAACTCAACCTCTGGGAACTGACTTTTATGCAAGGGGCCAATCGAATTACAAGCCCAACCCAATGGGTAAAGGAGGAAGGAAAAAATCATGGACAGAGGAGTGATGCAATGGAAATGGAAAGAAGTCTTGAAAGCAATGAAGCAACCAAGAGTATGTAAGAGACAGAGCAAGTCATCCAGATCCAATGGAGAGTAAAGGTGGAAAGTGGCAAGAAACAAAAATGATGAAAAGAATATTCCACATGAGCTCACAAAGTGTAGGTCAGTAAAACTGATCTAGAACAAAAAGAACACATCAAGCCAAAACAGTTGAGAAAACCAGATCTGTGCTGGTCAACAAGAATCAGTCCAAAAGACCTGACTCAAAGTGACATGGATGATCAAAATCACCTGGAGAAGAAGACTGATTGAATGAGAAAAACCAAAGTTATAATCTGGATCTAATCCTGTCTATACATATTGACAGCCAGGGCAAGTGGATAAAGAACCGGAAACTAAAAACAAAAGAAGTAACTTGGAATTGAGAAAGGAGTCAAATGCTTCCCAAGGAGGAGTACCCCACAGGAGGCAGAGCCACTGCAAGTTTGGGGATCAAAATGTCACTCCTTGGGAGAAAGTGTGGGGGGACTGGAGGGGCAATCTGGAACAAGGATGAAAGCACCTGGAATATGAAACATCTGTGATAAATATAAGAACATATTAAAGAAATATAAAGAAGTAAACATTAAGGAAAGTTTGCTGATAGTTACCACTAAGTATTTTTAATTTTAATAAGGTCATTTAAACAACTTAGCCCTACTTTTATGTGGATGAACACCTTATTGCATATGAAGGCTTGTATAGAGTCTGAAAATTGGTAGCTACAGTGGACTTAACAGGTGGTAGTTGGGATGTTATACTGGTATAATTTGTCTAGTGTGCTACTAATTAGTGATTTACTACTACAATGGGGGCTGGAATGCCAACCTTAGGAGGTAAGTTTACTTTACTTACCCCAAGTGGTAGTATCTTATTTCATCTTTATATTTTTATTTTATTTTGGAGAACATTCAACTTTCCACAACTGTCTGCAGTTTCTAATTTTGATTATTTTATTGAATTTCTTCATGTGAAACTAGCAAATGGAGGTTAAGACTGATAGACAGTGTATCCCCACCGCAATTTGGGTCTTACTTCCGCAGTCATCTCCAAAACCTAGGGCATATCTTATATCCCACATTATAGCCTGTGCCCTAGGGATCCTTTTGATTTGTGCAGTGTCTTTATTTGACTTTTGTTTGGTCTTGTTTTTGTTCATTTGGATATCATTTATCACAGGTTTGGATTTGCTGTTTTTAACACAGTCCTTCCTTCTGATTTTGTATTGATTTTCTATATATATAGTTTTATCACAGCTTTTAGCTCTAGCATTAGTGAGCTATAGTACAGTTATTACACTGGTAAGAGAGCAGAAATAAAGATCTCTCTCTCCTTCCAGTTTAGCATGCCCAAGAACTTGTCTAAATGTTGCTTTAACTTCAATTTGATGGTGCTAATGTTTAACAAAGATTATGGTTGTTAGGAAATCTGTGTCCAGTCTCTTTTATTTTAATTAAGAATTAATGAAAAGCAAAAAAAAATATGACCCTGCTCTGTAATACATCTGTAGAATTCTCCTGTCTTGTGGTTCCTGCATACTACTCTGAAGGATATCAGAACAATCTGTGAATACCAGATCTATTATTTTTAAATGTAAGATTTTCAAAAAACACAAAGTTTCTTTTGTGTGTAACATAGCACATGATTCTCATAATATAAGTACAATTCTTTACATACATATCATAGCTTTTAGCTCTGACATTAGTGAGCTATAGTACAGTTATTACACTGGTGAGAGAGCAGAAATAAAGATATCTCTCTTCTTCCAGTTTAGCATGCCCAAGAACATGTCTAATATATGAGAAACATACCTAATGCTGGCTTTTTTGTTTCTTGTTTCTCTTCATCTTGTATTTTTCTCTTTGCTGGCAAGTTCTCAGTCATTTTCTTAGTTGAAGAAGGACTTGGAAGATCTCCAAATAAGCCATCAACACTAGAACCGTTGGTATTTGAGTGTTTTAAAATCTCACCTGCTTTGAAATAAATATAACAGGTTTGGTTCACTGAGATCATAGAGCTTTTGCAACATTTGTTTTTGGTGAAAGTTACAACAAATTTACATGTAAAGGTAAAACAAAAGCTTACAAATAGCATATAATAAGATTTCTACTAAGGCTTACAAAATATAATGCATCTACAAAAAACAACAAAGAAACGGGATAAGAGGAAAAGATTACAGAAAAAAAAAGAGAGGAAGAAAAACAAATCTCTAATGAATGATGAAAGAAGGATGTTCAGTTTATTGGACTTACCAAAATTTATGTTAATATGTTTTTATTTGTCTATCTTACATCTAAGAACAGGGCTCAAAATGAATACTGTTAACCCATTGACTGCATCTGCTCTGAATGTGTGTAGAATTTTTACAAGCCGCACACCATATATGGCACACTCAAATTCAACTGCAGAAGGCAGAACGTACCCTATACAGCAAATCAGCAGTCAATAAGTTAAATTACCAAATTGTTAGTTAATGTTGCAGCTTGCAGTTTTACTAGTAAAAGTTAAAAGACATGAAAAAAAATTGCTAGTAGACACTTCTAAAGGAAGATTTGCAGACACTCGTGATACATGCATTTCAATCATTTATAGAGCTGGACAATTAACAGAATTTGATCATTTATTTAATGTCAAGCTCCTTAATCGAATACATTCAATCAATTATTCTCACATGGGGCTTGAATAGTTAGAATAATCCAAAATAGTAATAACTGGAAACTCTAATTTCAATCAGTTGATTATTTTAATGAATTGTGCAAGCCTGTGTGGGAGAATTAATGTTCATTATAATTCTAAATTTATTACATGTATCTTGACAAACTTTTGTAAGCTTTTATTAAACAATATAAATACATAGTATACAAAAAATCATAATTTTTAATAAATTATTTCTACTGTTAATTGTTTGTTAATTTAATGAGTCAGACTGACTCAGACTAGTCTGAGTTAAGAATCAAAATATTTTCTTTCATCTTAAAGTTTTGTATTTCATTTACATAACCTCTAGGACCTCCTAAATGAACATCAAAAGTTTAAAACTTTATACCTTATATCTTATTTTCTCTAGCCTAACACTAACTGTAGCAAAATCGCCTGTAACGAAATTTGAAAAAATACGAAATAAAATAATTTGAGTTTCTAATTCATACGAAACTATAGACTTAGTATTTTGCCTTCACAAACACCTAATCTGAACATATGCTGCATTCAACATACCACATGACACACAAAAATCAATGTTTATCTGTGTCTTTTTACTATTTACTTTTACATTAAGAAATTGAGTAATGTATAGTAGTAAAATTGATACCAAACTTATTGACATAAATTCGTGAAATAGTAGTTCAATAAAATTTTGAATGCAAGTCTACAAATGTGATGACATGGCCTTCCACCCATGACCTGTCTCGAAAGGGTTGAACCAGGATATACCATAAGAACAAATTTTTGGAAAACATACAGCACATTAAAGAACAGTTAAGCACATTGCAGAGTGAAACATAGTAAATACGTGGTTGCAAAATAAATGAAAAGCACTTTCCGCCCTACCTAACAGAATATTTATAAATAAATAAATGATACACAATGTAAAAACAAATTCAAATGCTTAAATACAAATCACCATAAACTCAAACATAAAAAACAACAACACAAAACTCCAATTTGTAGTTTTCTAATAATAACAAACTACATAAATAGTGTAATTAGACAAAAAGCAAGTATGAAGCAACATAAAATGAGAAACAACAATAACAAACAAAAAATCTCCAATAAGAAACTCTTACCAAAACAAGTTCTGACTTCCTTAATTACAATGCACTTTAAAATATATCTTTTGTCATTTTCAGGGTTTATTATTCTAAGGTTTGTAATGTACATATATATATATATATATATATATATATATATAC